CTGTGTAACATCAGCTTATGATACGATAATATTGCTGGTAAAAAGACTAATTTGGTATTTGTAGTTGGTATTGCTGTCATCTCCGTACCTCGAGCGCCATCTCTCGGAAATTTTTAATAATGACACTCTTCACTTTTTCTGCCGGAGAACACATCTACGGAGAAGACAGGGGTGATGGTTTCGCCCGTTCTTTCACCCTCCCTTTCTCCTTCAGGCTAGTTACACCAGTTCTCGAGAATTTTGAATATCCTTGGGATGTTCAAGCCAGCATGTTCCTATCGCTATGTCTCCTGAATGTGTTTCAGGTGTTGTTTAGGGTTAAACAACTATTTAAAAAAATCACCCAGAGATCTGCCCCGAAGCTGGATAGTTATGAGTGACAGGGTGTGTGGGATAGTATGAGCAAGTACGTAGGACAGTGGGCACCTCCAGTGTTTTGGAACTTTGCCCCTGAACAAGTGCAGAATCCTGGAAAAGCTACTAAAGTATTTGGAAAAAGTACGCTGTCACCCTGGCAACTCCAGAGAGACACAGATCACTGCAATGTGCTGGGGCCTGGCCCATGCCTACTGAGCCCTGTTCAACACTATTCAGTACCCTCAAGGGGAAGAGAAGGTCTCTGGATCTGACTACAAGGTGACAGGCACTGCAGCCACTCTAACCCCGGTGGCAGGCACTGTGGCTGAACCAAAGAACCAACCTGTACCAGTATCACTCACCCCTATAGACAAGAAGAAATATTGGAAGCGGAAGTCAGCTTGTTTAGTAAGTGATGAAGAAGTTTCTTCTAAGAGGGAGCAGGAGGAAGAAGTGGACGAGGCAGACTACCCCGAAGTAGGGCCATCACAAGAACAGGAGGAGGAGAGGCAGCTGCTGCTCGGGGAGATGGAGGAGGAAGAACTCATAAACGAGGCAGTGACCACCCGATCCCTGTCCCTGAGTGAGCTGCAAGATATACGAAAAGATTTCAGCCGTCATCCAGGCGAGCATATTGTCACCTGACTGCTCCGATGCTAGGATAATGGGGCCAGTAGCCTGGAATTAGAGGGTAAAGAAGCCAAGCAGCTGGGATCCCTTTCTAGGGAAGGGGGCATTGACAAA